TTTTTTTTTTTTTTTCCAATTGCTGAAATTTCCCTGTTTCTCCGAGCAAACGCGCCGCTCGCATTTGTTCGCTGTTCTCCCGGCTTACATTCAGAAAAACTTTCGTTGAAACGCAGTAGATGGGATATCATTCATCGACAAAGAACACACAATATTCGTGAAACGAGAAGCTCTCCTCTATGATATAATCATTCGAGAATGAGATTGTTATAAAAATTGTCGCTGCTGTACGATTTAAAGGGAAGGATTCAAGTTCTCGAACACTATTTTCGCTTTCATCGCAGCTACGCGAACAATTCATATATGATTTTTCAGTGCAAATCAAACAGAGAATAAGAGCGAAATTCAGTTTTCCTAATAATATAGTTTCCGACGTTGTATCCAATGTGATTTCACATCTTCAACATTTTCACATTCGTGAAACTTTCGACGAACGGAAGGGTAGGTCAGATAATATATTATTGAGATTCCCTGCAGACTTCCGCTTCTACGAAAACGATTCTCGATCGCAATTCGCGATTCCGTTATTCAAAGCAAAGTTTACATTTTCGAGACTGCAATGAAGCACAAGCTGGCGAGGGATTCAATCGATCGCTGAAGTCGATACGATAGTTCGCCGACGAGATGTTCAAAGGCGCTCTCCTTAAACATTTAAACCCCAGCAGGCTGTCGTTTGCTCGTGACGAAGTCGTAAAAATCGGGATTCGGTTACGTTGGCCGCTCAACGAGTAAAAGTAAAAATCACTGGAGGATGTGGATCTTTGGGGCAATGCATTCACGATCGCGGAATCGTTTTAACGAAATAGCCGACGGATATGTTACGATATGAAAACGCTCGATACAGATACCAGCTTGAAAGGAAGCTTCTCCACGGTGAATTACGAATAATACTCGAAGGCGTATATGTACACGGCTCGAATCGATACGATTCTATTCGTCATTCGTGAAAAATGTAACAGATCCTGAAATCGCGAGCAACGTTTTCTCGTCACTCTCTTCTCGAACATGCAACATCTAATCCTCTCCGATTAATCTCTCTCGGGACCCTTTTTGCCTGGAAACAACGTCTGGTCTGCTGTATGCCGTTCTTTCTCAATTTAAAAGAGAAAGAATCTGTGAAACTAGTCGAAAGCTTTCTTTCAAGGAAACAGAGATCAGAGCTGGATGTTATAAACGATTTTCCATGATCTCGAGAGTTGAGCATGTAAGAATATTTGACTTGTTCGTGCGAAAATTAAGAAAGATTCAATCAATCGAGACAGATTAAACTGTTTGTAAATTCAGGAGTGTTTTTCTTGGCAAATGTTTCATCTTTGAACGAACTTCTTCGAATCGCCGTTACATTCAATCTTTTTAATGGACATTGGGATCACGGATAAGTAACAATGAGATTGCAATACATTTGATGAATGAGACAAACGTGAACATTCGAAAATTGGCGATTCAAAAATTTCTTCTGGACGTGTGAAGTTCAATGTTAACTTATTGAAAAAAAAGATATCTGTTTTATTATATAATAATTCTTTTTAATAAGAACTAAGAGCAGTGTTTGCTCGAACATTTCATTATTTGATAAAAATTTCTAATAACGTTTGACGACAAGAGAAGATTAAGATGCTTCTGAAAGTTAAATCCAGTGTTTGGATATTAAGCTCGAGGTGGTATAAAGACTTTACGTAGACATTTTTCTTCATCAAAGATTATGGCTGTTACAAGCAGCCGCAAAATATTTTTCAGTAACCACGAAACTTCGATAATCAGCGTGATTTACTATCAACAGGATTTCCTCGAGTCTCTCCTCGGATAAGAATCAAGGCGGCACGGTTTAAGCGGAAATGATCATCGATTGGTGATACAAGTTGAAAAAGGAACGCGTGCAAGCGATAAGGGTGAAGATACGTTGCAGAGAAAAATTCTCTGTTTCATTTGTAGGACGTGCAATGGAGAATCGTTCTTCGTTTGATATTTCTTGGTTTGATATCTCAACGACAAAAAAAAAAAAAAAAATTACCACTGTTCGCGATCGATTCGCCAATTTCAAAGCACTCGACGACACGCTCATCATACGCTAACTAATTTAGAGGTTTCGCGTGCAAGCGAAATCTCCCTCGACGAGACGAAATCGAACAGAATTCAGCCGGAGGTCTCTCTACTTTAATGACCGTGATGCCGTACTTGTTCGATCCTTAGACACGCAGTGAAGTTGGCCTGCTTTGCTACGCGATATTTCGCTAGACTTCACCTTTTTTTTCTGTTTTTTTTTTTTTTTTTTTTTTCTTTTTCATCCTCAACGACGAAAAACAAAAAACAAAAAGAAAAGGAAAAAAAGAAAAGAACGACGAGAAGAGTAGTTCTGTCGTATTGAACGTAATTCCTCTGACAGGCTCTTCCGCTTTTCTATTCAGGGAACTCTCTCTTTGTTCGTCGTACGCCGAGAGTTTTCTTTCTCAATATATATATATATATATAGACCAATTTTCTTCGATTCGCGGTACGAAACAAAGTGTTCATTTAGCGCTAGCTTAAAGCCAGCATTGTGCATTTTGCAACCAACCAAACTTTGCGACCAGAATTAGAAGGTTTACGCGCAACGAGCATAGGATCCTTCGACAGATTTACGAACGGTCCGATTCAAAGTAGAACTCTCTCTGTTAGTTTTCTGTTCCAGGGAACTCGCGATTCGAGAGAGAGAGAGAGAAAAAAAGAAGTGAGTTCGACGACTTTGATAGATTACGTTGCAATCTGCTGGAGGGAAATGTATTTTCACTTTGCCAGCACACAGAGGAACATCTCTTCTAACAGCATCGCTTCTCAACACCATTCCAAACACCTCCTCCGAGATCAAGCTTTAATTAATTCGTCGAACTGTTTCGCGGTTATGAGGTTTACTAGTCGCGACCTAAATCGTTGGCATGATATTGGATCTCTGACAATTGTCTCTGCTTTATGCTATCATGTAAGCTTATTGCACGTGTAGAGAGCAATTAATTCCGTTCGCTGTGATTGGACAGTTGGGCACAAGTCACTTGAACAATTCGATCCGGTATTGTATCGATGCTACTGTTGAAAACGTTGATTGAAAAGTATTATTATATATAAATTATTATTATTAAGTATTATATATATATATATATAAATTATTATTATATATAAGTTATCAACATTGAGAACCGATTTTTTACATAAGTCGCGCTTGTATTGTATTTCCTATTTAGAATTTATGCGATTTCGTAGTGCCACGGGGGAGAAAGTAGGCCAATAAGTTTCCTAATCCTAGAACGTTTCCCTTGATGTATATACTGTACCATGGATTTACTAGCCATGTTTTCTCGTTTCGTTTTTTATAGCGATATTTATATTGTATTCATGTTTTTTCTAATCCGAGATCTCCGTACTTATGGTTATTTGGTTGAATTGTCCCAAGGCTACGTACTTATGTCAAAATCTTACTCTCTTCGTGCCACAATTTCATCCTTGGTGGACGAATCTGTTTGGAAAATTATTCAGAGATGATGGCAGAAACTTTCAACGCTGAT